TGTTATCTAAACTTACATCTTTGAATGTTTCTATGTTTTCATGTCACAGGGTCAAGATCCAACTTGGCAAACAGCCAACCGTAAGTGAGCTTGACATGGACAAAATTGTCCCACGAGCCAAATAAAAGTATCCAGACAAAAAATATGAACTCCAATATTTTAATTGTGTGTTTTTAGTTCACTCTTTTCGTTAGAGTATCGTATAAATGAAACGCATTGAAAATTATATAGAATAGTAGGTAATACCATGTACTAACGTGGAAATAAAGTTGTTGTCGTTGTTGCATGCAAGTATTTCCCGGGAATTATTTATACCAAACTAAGAATACGGTTCCTTGGTAGCATTTTAATGTTCCTGGAATTTGCAAGGCTTCGGCAAGCCTGTGGAGATCCTTTTTTTTTTTAACACGAAATTCTGCCTTGCACTCAGCTTCATCCCGCACGTTTTTTAGCGTGAACGGATCGTAACTGTCCCAAGGAAAATCGGGATTTTTGGACTCATAATTTTCCCACAAAACGAGAAACTCTTCATCCGATACATGTTGTCTGCATAGCAAATATTTATTCTCTTAATTCTTTATGTGAAGCCATATTTTCCTCTCCGGTATTCTTCTAAGGCGCCGTCCTTCTGAGTTCACTGCCATCTTAATGTTCGAATTTTGACGGGAAGCGACGGCTGCCTCAGTTCGAGGCTTTCTCTGCCAGTCCGGTCGCCGTCGCCCCGAAAACGTCTCTATCTTAAGTTCCCTATTCAGGGATGCTCTCGATCTCTTTACGCTTTCATTGCCTTTCGCCGACATGTTTTGCACGGCGTTTAGTTATGCGAAACCTCCACGAAACATCCACGCAGCGCGCGTGGTAACTTTATCCCGATTCTAAAAATAACTCGAGACGAATTACCTATGGAATAGGGTGTGTATGGGCGATGCCTTCTCTGTCCCCTTTATCCTCTCTTGATTTTAATGTATAGATCAAGCCAAAGCCAAAAGCAAGGCTCTCGTGGGATTTCGAAAGAAACGTCTTTTCGAAAGAAATTTAACTTTTGTCGCCTGAGAAAACTGTGTTGAAAGTAGAAGGGCTGTTTTCTCATGTGTTCAGTAGACTCAGTGACTACACTGATTATTGAACTTCTGAGACGACAAGTGCTAGTAATAGCAGATTGGACGGTAGTTAAATAGGAAAAGTAATAAACGATAAAAAATCAACAATTCAAGTTAAGGATACTGCTAATCCTTTGTTACACCACTTGATGGCTTCGTCAAATCGACTCAGCTGAACGCAGGTACTTGCTCCTACAAAGGAACCAAAAAAATAACACAGTCATCAAACAATTAAACTTAAGAAAAGGCTAATCATGTCAACATAACTTTCTGTGTCTTCGGTCAATTTTAGGTCGAGTTCACACGAATCCGGATATCTTTTGAAACCGCATATTTTTGTAGCCAGATATCGTCTAGACAGAGCCTTAAACCAATCTGGTTTAGTAATTCGTGCACAAATTATGCGCTTTCAAAATGTCTGGATTCGCGTGGAAGAGGCCTTAATCTTAGTTTTTGCTTTACAGCGATTTTCGTATGTCCTTGGAAAATGGTTTCGGTAAGTGTTCGTTACTTGTTTTATCAGCCAACAAAGGTACGGAAAACCGGGCAACAAAAAACGTGCAACGTGTTGCGCGTTTTACCTCCCATATCAAACCTGTCTTGCAACAAATTAGGTTGTTAACAGGTTTGGACATGGGTGGTAAAACGTGCAACATCGCTATTCAAATCGTTTTGCAGCAATGTTGCAAAACAAACTGCACGTTTTTTGTTGCCCGTTTTTCCGTACCTTAAATGAAAAGATCAAAGCATGGCCTCTTCGTTTTCCCGCCAAAGAAAACCCTAATGTGGAGAGGGCATTGTTCGATTGGCCAATCGTGTTGCAGTATGACGTTAAAGCGAAGTATCTGCTGATTTCTAGAAAGTTCTCGGGCTTGAAGTTTTTTCACCCGGGCGTTGGCTCAACCAACCAAAAACCACGCGCGCTTACATCCGTTCGATAAACCAATCAAATCGCTCTATTTCCATTCGTTTGTTGTTCTGTTTTGTTCGCGCGTTTTTATTTCAGGGTCATATGAAAATCGCTCTAATCATGTATTTCAGCCAAAAAATGATTTTAAAACTAGGGGAAAAAACTGACGATAAACAGGAACAATAAATTCACTCAATGCCTATCGTTCTTTAATTCCGTGGTTACCCAAATGATATCGGTTAAAAGACAAATGTTGTTCAAGATTCTCGCAAACCAGTTTCGATCTATTTACGATATTTTTTCTTCTGATTATCTCGAGATGTTCGCCGGCAGAAGTTTCGTTTTCTTTTATGTAGGTCTTTTCACATACATTTCAAGTTTTATAATAGACAACATCTGCAGCAGTGGTGGCGGTGACGGACCGTTCGCGTCTCGACGGAATTTTGTATACGTTATAAATAATATTACTTGCTTAGCTGAAGTTACTAGCTTCACCGTCATGTGTGCAATCATTTGAAAGTTCCAGTGTGATCATCAAATTCTAAAGTGCTTATACCTAGAAAGTTGTGGACGCTTTGTTATGTTTAACTGAAATAAAGGGTGGTTGCGAAAATATTCTGCTAGTTTCAAGATCACTTTGGAGTAGTGAAAATACTAAAACGTTTTGCAGGATACGTTTCCTGATTTCTTTATCAAAAAGGACTTCGCGTGCGACCTCAGCCAAACTTGGCCGCGCCCAGTTTAGTCCGAATCTTAAGAGCTCACCTCGGATAAAAACTTTTAAAAAGGATGGTTGTAAACCAGTAGCAATTTCTGCATCATTCAGTGTTTCAGTGTAATTACCTGGAAAAGAAAAAGACAATTTACATTCCAGAAAAAAGAGAGCAAGGCATCCGAGTGTGGAATACATGTTTTAGAACTATTCCACCTGTTTGTTGCATCATTAGGGAGCTTACCTTATTATAGGAAATTAACGCTCCATGAAATTAACACGAATCGTCAAAAATTCGCGTTAATTTAAGTCGCGTTAATTTTGTTGAGCGTTAATTTCCGCGACGTTAATTAAGTGCAGCGTTAATTTCCGCGCTCTTAATTTCCACTATTTTAACCCCAATTTTAGAACCTGTCCAGAAATTCCTGACACCTAAAAAACATTAACTACAAGCTTTCTTTCTTTCCATTTACCCTTTATTTTTCATCTTTCACAAAAGCTAAGGAGAAGGTTTACAATATTTCAAGTTCATGATCATCGTTGTCACTGTCAGAAGTGAGGTCAATATCTTCTCCTTTGATTTCGGCTAAGATAGATTTCTAATCGTCAACATAGTCTCTCTCGACAGAATATGAGAATCGCGTTAATTTCCTTTATTATGAAATTCTACCTCCTCTTTCGCGTTAATTTTCTTTATTCGAAAGTCGTTTTCCATTAAATTCGGGTTAATTTACGGGTTTTTCGGGTTAAGTTGCGTTAATTTCCAATACTTAAATTTTCATGGAGCGTTAATTTCCTATAATAAGGTAATTTGAGTGACGCATGTCAACCGGAAGTGGTCTTTTTTCATTTTTAAACGGGGTTTTGCCCAAATGTTTGGACAGATCGTCTCTATAACAGTAAAGACACTTAGAAATACAAATTTGGCAGCGTCAAGGTGCTTTAAAATGAAAGAGACCTCATTTCCGGTTGACGTGCGGCGCCTTAGAAGTGTCAAGCACAAACGATATAGCAACCTCGTTCCCAGGGTTCTCTCCTACCCGCCCTACGGAGCGAGAGGAAGAGAGACCCGTCTCTCTCTCTCTCGCTCCATAGGGCGGGTAGGAGAGAACCCTGGGAACGAGATTGACGATATAGAACTCTTACCCAAACTATAATGTGCCGCAGATCTGTTGCTGTACAGTTTGGCNTAGGGCGGGTAGGAGAGAACCCTGGGAACGAGATTGACGATATAGAACTCTTACCCAAACTATAATGTGCCGCAGATCTGTTGCTGTACAGTTTGGCATTCAGCTCTTTATTCTTGCAGTTCACTTTTATTCCTTCCGTGTAGAAGTAAATGGCGTTGTTAAAATCTCCTTTTCTGTATTCGTTATTTCCTTCGTCTTTGTAAACCTCTGCAATTGCTACAGAGCAGCAAATCATGATACTTTTAGTGTATTCATAAATATTATCTCTTTCGTTTTGTCATCGCAGTTTTTTTCAGCAAAGCGTTTCTACTTATCAATTATTCCACGAGTGCACGTTGGATATGAGTTTGCTATAATCACATCATATCCAACAAGCGCGAGTGGAATAATTGTCTTATTAAAAACGGTCACAAAATATCGAGAATTCTTCTCGATTTAATTTGTAAAAACAACCGGTTTTCAGCTTGTTTTCAATTTTGAGCAGACACGTAGAGTTACCATATTTGACATATTTGGAGAGCACGGTATAATGGCTCATACACCATGATGGCTAAGCCAATCAGAGCTCTGGAATTGCATTATCTATTATATGTAATACAGATTTAGTTTTAACTAAAATAAAATAGAGGACCAAAACTAAGGCTAAGTTCACATGGCACCCGGACAAATTTCGACTGGCTGAAAAATTTGACTGGACACTTCGTTCACACGGAAAGTTCAATATTTTCGCTCTTGTGAGAGGGAACTTTGAATGGCTAAAAGTGAACGCAACACCTTTTAACCCACGAATTTTCAACTGGTCGAAAATTCGTCCGGCTCCGTGTGAACGCAGCCTAAGAACTAACTCGTCCCCAGTCGTCTCTCATCATTGGTATTTGGCGTGGAAGACTAGAACGGGATCTTTAACGAAGGAGATGACGCATCCCCAAGCACTTCCTTAGTAAATAATAGGCTGATTTAGCAACAGGACGGGAAGGTCAGTTGACGACGGGAAAGCGCGCGGAAAGGACTAAACACGACTTCCGGTGCCCAATTTACCGCTCTGCCATTGGTCAAGCCAGTTGTTTAATTTGCGCGCGCCGTCGTCAACTGACGTTCCCGTTCTGTTGCTAAATCAGCTTATAGTGAACTTAAGCAACAGGAAGGGAGAAGAAAGAAGACGGCAAACCTTGTGTGATAAGCGTGACAATAATTTTGTTTGAAATAACCTTTCGCCAAACTTCACTCTCCCTTAAACACAACTTTTTGTAAAGACCAGAAAACATTAACGTTTGGTGAATATCACGACAAAACACGCAGTTGATAGCCCTGTCACGTTTGTCACGCACAAGCGTTTTGCCGTCCTCTTCTTCCTGCCGTCCTGTTGCGTTAACTCACTAATTAATGAGTAGAGACAACTTGGAGACGACTGGGAACGAGTCAGGCCTAAGGAAGCGAAACCCTGTGCCGACGTGTTTTGGAAGTTACTTTTGTACATCCGGGGTACAAGTTTTCAGCATTAAGCCAAGGTTCCGTCAATTGATTTGCTATCTGATGCTTGACAGTTCTGAGATGCTGATTGCGCGTGACTGATCTTTGGAATTGGCCAATGAGATGAGCGTATATAGCTATTTTGAGAAAGGTCAGAAAAAAGCGTGCGCAAAAGCCCACGCGACAACCCCCGAAAGGTATTGTTGGTAGTTTAAAGTTCCTTAATTCAGCATTTCAGGTAGCCTGCGTTGCAGCCGGCCCACGCACTCGTCAAAACCATTTGTATACAGTCAACTCTCCCCAAGATCTTTGCGACCGGCACTAAGTATCCGTCTTAGAGAGATGTCCGTCTTATAAAGAGTCAAATAAAGGAAATAAGCAAAGGCAGGAACCAGCTCAAGGTGTCCGTTTTACAGAGGTGTTCGTCTTATAGAGGTGTCCGTTAAGAGAGAGTCGACTGTAGTCCGTCTGTAGAAAAGGTGTAGAGCGTCTGCGACGCAGGCAACATTTCAGGAAACTCTGAAAAACTGGCACGAAACACCTTGACTATATGTTTGCAAGTGTTACAAGAAGACAACAAAAATTTGGTTCGAGGACTGTGGTATAAGAAACTTACCCAAGAAATTTCTCTCATATAAGATTGTTTAAATGCAAAAAAAAAAGGTCATCGCAGTATAAGAAGAAAGCCTGAAAAAATTCAGGCTTGCCAGGATTCCAACCCTGACCAGCTCTGCGGTACCGGTGCAGCGCTCAAACTAACTGAGCTAGCTAGAGAGCCGAGAGGGAGTTGGTCATTAACTTGCTCCTAGTATACCCGGAGAAGGAAGATCAAATGTTTTCGCCACCGCATGAGGCCACGTCCTCAGGAATACGGATACGCTGAAACCGCATACTTGATATTTGCGTCAAAACAAATTCGGTGTGGTGTATTCAGTTTGAATCCACTCGTCCAAACGAATACGCAACTCCCGTTTAGGGACTGTGCAATAACTATACCTGGAGGGGAGGTTGGAAAATTTAGTGGGGGGGGGGGCATGGGAGAAAATGACAACAAGAGAGAGGGGGGGTTGGATGTAAAACTTAGTACATACAGGGGGGGGCATTACTTTTTCATTCGTTTTTGCAAACTGGAAAAGTAGTGGAAGAGTTATTAGAGTTCAAATATAAATCAGTACTAACATTGGAATAAAACTGACAAATTTATCAACTCTAAGGTGTTCTGATCTATGAACTGTTGTTTTCCTATCTGCCATGCAGTAGGAGAGGAATGCCTCTATTATATATGTTAAAACAGTGCTACTTTATTTGCACTAACATTTAATAAAACATGAAACTTTAATTAAAAGTTGCAAAAGTAGAACTATAAATGTTATTCAATGAAAAAGAAAGATGCCAATGTTAGCACTAGCAGAATGAAAAACCCAACTGTTGAAATTTTAATAGCAGTACAAATTTAAAGTATGCTAAATAAAACACAGTATGATTAAATTGAGCTTCAAATTAAATTGAGCTTCTCACCCACGAGCGCGGGAACCTTAGTGCCACAGATGCTGTAGAAGATGAGGAATCTCCCAATTCATATTCATGCGAACGCGACGCAAGCGCAGAGTCCGGTGATTCTGATGACTCTTCAAATGTCTCTTAGACATACTTCGAAGAGTCATTTGAAGTGATGTTTGTACCGGAGGAAGAAATCCAACAAGAAAACTAGGTATGAGGGAATCAATGGGAGGAGACTTTTTTCAAGGAGGGGGAAGGGGAGTTAGCCTTAAAATTATCATTATGTGACGGGTGGTTAAAATTAATTTTTGCTTAATGAGAAGGGGGGGGGGGG